CCTCGAGTCGGTGCTAGGTCCCAGGTCCATCAAAGAAGAAGACGAACAAGCGACAGAATCGGTAGTTGGCAGTGATGGGCTACGTTGCCTCTGTTTAAGGTTCAGCGAATGTGTATGGGCTGGTCCAGTCTGCTGATTGTGTCAGCGTCATTATCGTGTACTAGTAGTATTTGTCTTCCAGAGAGACGCGTGACCTTTTCGCGTGGTATCAGGACTCTGCAGCATAGTGTATGCAATGCATACAACACATGGCATTCAAGAAATTAGCAATGATACAAGACGTCAGTGGTATAAACGGTAGATACACTTTCGATGCGATTGTCGTCGGTGAAGTTGAACAAAAATCAACGTGGTGGATGAGGGGACCTTATGGATGCAGGGCTAATAAGTAGACAGTGGAGTAGCAGTCCAAGAAATGCAAAACGAGAAAATAGGTATACATATATGCACAAGAATCGGAACCAAAACGTCCGAGATTACCCGCTAGTCCGGAAGGCGTAACATATCGCCTTCGAAGATGATGTCACCACGGTCTTGTAAAGCGGCCGCCGCTTTGACGACTTCGGCTGTGTCAAAGTCCTCGTGTTTGTCTGCAGGTATGGCAGAGTTTAAGTAGGTCAACAGGGAAGATATGGTCATGTCATCCGTGCTGTCATAAGTGGTCATAAATAGATATGCGATTGACGAAAAAATGAAATCCATCCTGACAGCAGGGCTCAGCCATCAGCATCATCATTTGGAAATATCAAAGTCAGGCGACTAAGAGTAACGTACCGGCCAGGAACGGTGGTCAAGTCAGCAAAACTAAGCGCAAGACGGCGGTTCAGGCGGCTCGTCGACCCGGAGGCTTCCGTTGGCGCCTGAAGGTCGCTTCCCTTTGGGCGGATAGAGCGGACGGTTTGTGATGATCTCTTGCTGGTGGAAGCATTATCAGGAACAACCCAAGCGGGGCCAGTGCGGTTGCTTCCATTGTCTAATCGTTGTTTCTTTGTAGTGTGAAGAGACCGAAAATCCGAAAACCTGGCCTTGCGCTTGTCATCCATGGGGAGTTCCTGGGTGTCGTGCGGTTCCTCTGATTCTAGTTCATCTTCGGCAGACGCATCATCATCTGACAAGCTTCCGTCGTCAGGATGGGTTGTGCCACCTTTGGCTCTAATTTCTGCAACTTCTGCAGCTTTCTGAGCTCGCCTCTGACTGAAAGAGCAACGCAGTTGGTGTCAGTGTGAGATGCGGGAGAAAGCAGATATGGTTAGAATGGTGGAAATACTCACTGTCGAGCTAAACACTTTCCCCGATGCTGTATCCATGGATACGCGCAGTATGAACTATCTTGCCGAAGCTGAACCCACTTCCTGCAAAGAGAACAGAATACTCTGTTCGGCTCAACCTCTTCAACTAGAGGATCGGCCTTGAGAGTTGCAGCTCGTTGTTCGGCATTTCGTCGACGAGATTCATGAGCTGGAAAATTGGTGGGTGTCAAATCCTTGAATGATGAAGACGGCGAGCACGGTGTTGCCGGTGGTATGGGAGTTTTTCCGTGGACTGGTGAGCCTGAAGGACGTCTTGAAGTTGCAGACACATGTTGGCTATCTCGGGCTGCTGTGTCAGATTTCGGTGGCCTTGAAAAAAAAATAGGAATGAGAAAACGAAGTAAAACATCAGATTGAGAGGCTCAACTGAGACGATGAAGCTTCCGCTTGAGCTGCGGAAGACTGTGCAGCACCCTTTTGACAGGACGATCTGTGGTGTAACCACTTTTGGACTGCCTGCATATGGTTTTCGGGGCTGACTTGGATCCAACGGTCGCAAGTATTGCACAGTACCCGCTCGGCATCAAACTTGCGGACGTCCGGGTCTTTGGAGAGCAATGAATTTCTCTCTTCGAGGGCACAACCATTCTTGTTGTTACTGGGGATGCGTGAGTGGCGAAATGATAAGAAAGGGTATGGATTCGCTCACATCTTTTTTGACAAGCAACTCTTGCGGTGAGCATCCCAAGGGATGGAGCAATACGTGGAATTAGGACGGAGTCGGATCCACTTGTCGCACGATGCACATAATACGCGATATGCCTCGAACTGTGCGACGTAAGGATCCGCCCTAAGGTAGTCAATGCGTTCCTCTTCAGTGCGCTTAGCGCGCCGCCGTTTGGCAGGAGGGTTGGCAAGGGCCTCTGCCGTACTTTCCGGAGTATAAATGACAGGTTCTGGCACGGCCTGAGTTGTGTTGGCACTGCCGGGACAGATTAGAAACAAAGACATGATTGATCAAGGCGACATCGATACCATTGCTGGCGATGGGCGTCCCAGTGTTTCAGGGTAAATCCGCCGGTTGCTTCGTCACGAAAGGAGACACCCTCACTGCAGACTTCACACATGACACGACCGGTTTCATACTCGCCTTTTGGAACGGCGACTGAGTCGTCTACACTCTCGCCTTCAGCGTCAGCGGAATCTCCTCGTTCTGGAGGGGTTTTCCGCTTTCGGGAATTTCTGTAGAATAATTGGTGATGAAAGGGATCATAGGATCGAATAAAATCGTACGGAGATGAATCATGAGGGAGGTCTCGAGGAGGAGAGGTATCTGACCTGATGTTATCAATTAGCAGGTGAAATAAATGAGGGCTGGGAAGGGGAAAGAAATACTTGATGTCATCTATGTCCATATCCTCCGACATTGAAGGAATAGTGGAGGATTCGAAAGAGAGGAGGCAGGAGATGGGGAGAGGGATTAGGTATGATATTGGGGGCGTTCGGGAAGGGTTAATATGTGTAAGCTGCTGTTCGGGTGCCAAAACGTATTTACAGAGAAAATATATGTCACAGATCCGGCACTTCCAGAAACATAACAACATTTCATTTCCCACGGAGGGGGAAAAACATCGAAAAAGGTTTTGTACCTGAATAAATTAACCTCGACGAACAGGTGATTCTGCTTCCTGTCCGACTCGGTGTCAAATATATTATGACATAGGATTGAGACTTAAAGTAGACTGTCATCTCTTCGGTATAGCGTGGCAAGTGACTAGTGACTATTGTTCTAGCGTTTTACTAGTGCAGTGCCATGACACGCGTTTCCATCAAAAGTACTTTGTTCTTCATCACGATTGAAACCCCAACTCCGCTGTTCTATCGATCGCTTGGTTGTCATTCATCATCGATGCGATTCTCTCGGTTATGATGTCGGAGCTAAACGCTGCATTGCAATGGGATGTCGCTTGGTTTAACTGGGCTAGACAAATGACTAAGACGAAAGCTTCCATTTACATATCTCGGGCCTAGAACGGTATTTCTCTCTTTACTCGGCTTAATCCACCACGCCCTCCTCCCCCTTCTCCTCATTATCACCATTCATCCATCAGTACCTTGGACATTGCGCTGTCACTTTCGTTGGTTCCGCGATCTCCAATCTCATCGCATCCGGCGGCATGTACGGCAACTGCGGCATTTGGGGACATTGCCTTGTTCTGGAAATACGTGGATGTTTTGTGTTTTTCCTGTTTCCCGTGTGAATAATTATTATATGTCTGCGTGTTCGGCCACGTAGTACTATTCACATCTATCGCCGCACCACATGTAGTCGTATGGTAAGTTTATCGGCCTCCTGAACCAATTACCGGTACAATCCTGCGTCCAAGCATGGCCTAACTTCCCCGCACATGAAAACGACGTTTTTCCTTTTTGGATATAAAAGTACGTACTTTGTGGCCAACTACTTTGGCTGTCGATCACGATAGAGGCACCAAGATTCCCCTTTTCGGGTCTCTTTAGCGCCTGTTTATACAAGACGCCCCTGTTCCAACATGTAATCGTAGTGAAACTTGCCACCTAAACCTCGTTTCCGCGGACTCTTTCGTCAATATACTTCGCGAGTACCCCACAACAGGCGCTTAGATTCGCTCTTAGGGGCACATGTGACCAAGCGGCGTCCTAACCTTCTTAATTGAATCTTGGTCCTCCCACTGCTAGTGCGGCATGTTTATTCTTCGTAAGATTCTCCATAGAATTATCACCACATCATACCCTTCCGTATCCTTCTCCCTCGATAAATCCCTTCAGACGCTTCACGATTACATCAAGTCCGCAAAGCCACTTCGCTAGCTCCGCATCTAACCTTTCCATAGGCGCACCTTGGGATATACGACTATAGAAGTCACGGCGATACGGTGCGGCCCGAACAGCAACCTGAAAGTGCCGGAATAAGTCAGGAGCTACATGCACAACAGAAGCAGACAGTGACGTACGGCGGCGAGTGACCGTACGAAAAACGTATGATGCTGCCTCAAGACTTCATCGTATGAACGCTTGAAGCACACGTGTAACTCCACCGAAGGGTCATTCTGCATGTGTTGAAGAGCTATTTCCTCCGAGTCAGTTGCCTTCTATGACTACACAGTCGGGGTTAGAATAACCTCTACATAGGAATGTCAAACCACTGTGGAAGTGACGCTACTGATTAGTGACACGCTATATTAAAGGGTCGAACATACCGGGTCAGGCGTATCAAACAACCGGTCCCATGTCGGTCACCATCTAATGATACTTCGCTTCTAACGAGATTCTCGAGCGTGGAGCAACCAAAAGAATCGGCCTGGTAGCGAGTTCGTACACCCTGTATCGCACAAAAAGAATAAGGGTTGATATAGGGTTAGACAGAGCGGAGAACGTTCCCCTATATTGCCCTTTATATCATTCTGAACAAAGCCGAATACACCTGAACCAAGTAAATCTAGAACGAGGGAAAATCGGTTGCCGGACGTAACCAATGATTGCATCGTACCGAACAATTGAACCAGCCCTTCAGAGGCTTCCAGAAAAAGCAAGGTTTCCACACCATCAACGGTGATTGGAACATCTGCAAATGACTATGGGAGCGTCAGTCTGCGAAATGCGGCGAGGTGAGCTATAGTACTTTGACAGTCTCAAAGTATGGTCGAGAAGACATCTTGTTGGTCAAGAAGAACGTTCTACGCTACCTCCTGGAGGGGATAGTGCCGAATTCTGGTCCATTAAAGCCTCGAGGACAGTGGCCAGGCAGCAAGTTTACAGCATAAATGAAATTTGACACGATTTTGCAGGATCGAAGGTCAACGTGTACTGACATATTGAGTTATACGTAATATTATTTTCCGCATTTACTCATTTGTCTACTGATCTTATCATAGAAATTGCAGAACTTCAAGAGGCTGTCTAGCCACGAGTCACGACGTTCGAGGTCACCAAGTGAGGTTTATAGTTCAGCAGGAAATTTGATGCTGTCGGTTGCCAGGACACAAAGGAACGTGTTGACAGCAAAGCAGCATCACCGTCGGTACTACTAGTAAGTGCACATAACAAAGGGTCTACGCATGGCCTGGATTTTGGTTTGTGATACTCAGCCCATCACTTAGGATCCAATGTCGCCCAATGATTGCTCCATAATTTCCTTTGTGGTGGCGTACCGGTACTTCCATGGCACGTCTCCCCTTCGCCGGCACTCGGTATAAAATCGCTGGTTCAATGCTATGGTTCGTGGTGAACATCGTGTTTGATCCCGTCAAGGACAGACTTACCGGCGAAAGGGATATGATCCTGATTCTCCTCTTCCGGGCCTTCATCGTCCGACAGTTCCATCGATCGTAACGTATTATCCTCAACAGAGTTCGCCGTTCGCGAAATGCCGTCAGTTCGGGGATTATCTAGCTCAAACAAGCTAGCAGCTGTCGGGCGCTGTTCTGTATTTGACGGACAAAACCCGTCTCCACTTCGGGCGAGTTTCTCGTTCTGTACATTTGAGTTCGTTACTCATTCCATTATTAGGAGACATTAGCTCACCTCGATCTTGTATATTCTTGCACACTTCCCTCGATGTTTCATCCATAATCCTGGGTAATATCTCGAGCGCTTGTCCAGGCTAATCTCTCTGTCACACCCACGGCATATGACGGATGTGGGTCGTACGTCGTAAGTGTACTTGTCGTCCTCTAACTCCTGTTTCCGCTGAGCCTCGTTTTTCCTCTGCTTGCTAGATCCCGCGACTTGGATGAGTGGCTCATCTTGCTTGCCATCAGCGGCATCTACGTTCTCGCTAGAGTCATATATAGGACTCTGTGCGTCATCGGGTTCGGAAGAGGGGTGAGATAGGGCAGGCCCACGCCGAAAGTCGAACTTTACTGGACATGCGAAATAGTGTTCATTGACAAGGAGGCTGATCGTGGGCCAGTCGGCGTGTGTGTCATATTCAAGAACGGTACGGCACCTGCCACACTTGTGGGTGTAGGTCCGTTTCGTGTCCGTTTTGGATATGGCAGCATGCTGAGTGGCGGCGCGGTCCATGTCTGTCTAGGGCGCGGCGGATGAGGGATTGGATCTTGATTTTTCGTGTTTTTGTACTTGGAAACAATGCCCTTTCGGATGTGGACGTGGACGTTTTTTCTGTCACAGTGGCGCGAAGTTTAGACTTGCCTCGGAGTCAACTTGCATTGTTCGTCCAGACCACCGGTTCTCAGACACATGTGGTATTCCAAGGCGGGCAATCATCACTTGTCATGAAATTCATTCACTGACTGCAGGCTAAGGATTCGTCACTCTTCTACACGTTGATGTTTTCCGAACTGCAGGGTACATCTCTACAAAGTATCCCCGTTGTGAAAGTGAAAAACTTGTCTGACATGATCGTCCCAGAAAAACGCACCAGCGTAGAAGTCAAGATAGACGATGGATATCCACTCTGGCCGCCGTCAGGATGCACAGATCAATATGGCCACATGTCTCGAACTTCTTCGTCGACACAGCCGCCACAATAAACGAGACTGCGCTACATTTGCGTCCACTATGTTCTTAGGTACAAAAAACATAAGTTCCATTTCGTACGTAACTAAAGTCATGTATTTCTGTTTTTCACGCTGACTGGAATCACCGAACATTCCAAATGCATTGTTTAGAATCGCCTGCTGGTCGTTCATTCGGTACAAGGGTGATAAGCCACAGAGCTTGCGTTCTTATGACGTCAACAACTCCACTTCCATGAAGGCTGTGGGTACATTGTTCTGATCTTCTCTGGTGCACCGGTGAGTGGCGACCTGTCGTAGCCCCTTCTGCCAAAGAACTCGACTCATTTGCAGGATCGCGCGGCGTTGGATGTAAGACGTAGATGAGAAGGATGCCTATGAAATTCTGCAATCACGTATGGGATTTTTTTGTTCAAGGACGTTGGAGTGGTACCCCTCCAGCGTGTTGCAAGCGGGTGTTTGCTACCGTTTGGATGGCTTAGTCATGGTATGGATCTGGAACACATCGATAACTGTGACTTTAGTAGTACTTTGCGAGTCAATCGTTTGTATGGTACTATACCCATTGTATGTTACCAGTTCCACATCAGCTTGAGCCGATGTACATGTATGATGGGATGTTGGACCAAAAATGGAGTCGGGGCTTTTGGCGTGTAGTCGCCAGTACCCGTTTGTTACCATTTGGATGGCTTAGTCAGTAGGGTCTAGAGCCTCGGGCGTTGTCGTAGCGTTCATCATTGAAAGGCTACCCACCACTGTCTGCCAGAGGCACTGAGGCAGGCACATATTACTTCATTGTGGATCAACTGTTTAATTAGGCAGAAGGTCCGGAAAGCAGGATGGCTATTAGATCAGCGATACCAAGAGTCATTTCCCCTAAATGGTGCAGTACCAAGTACCAAGTACTTACGGTGGCCGCATTGACATCACAGGGAGAAAGGGACATGTTTTGCATACGCATCATCGATGTGTCAGAGTCAGGGAAGCACTGGCAAGTGGTGGTGAACTGCCTCATTCAATTTCGAATGGCATGCCTGTCGGAAACGGACATGTTACAAACTATGGAGGTATAGCCTTGGTACAATCTGAGCACCCTGTAGCCAAGAGTCGCCACTCACGCATACTGGACTCTGATGTACGTAGTCATTACCACTAGGATAGGTACAACGCCGCTTTTGAGACAGCAATATTGTTCCATTCGTCATACTTGCTTTTGAGGCAAGGCCGAGGTTGTGCGATACACAGGGTTTGTCATAATGCCGTACGAATGTTTGACTCGTGACGTACGTAGGTTATAGTAGTGCAAATCCCGATCTCCCGCACAACGGAGGAAAACCACCTCCGGACCCAGAAGCAACACCAGAACTCGTTCTGGTAAACACAACGAACGAGTGTCGGATAGAACAGCGACGCACGGAGATTCAACGAGATGGAAAGGCACCCCATAAAAATTTCAAGCAAGGGATCAAAACTTGCAGGCTCAGGCAGTTTTTCACTCTGGCCTGCACCTTGCGATGCTTGTCCTAACGGTCCGTCAGCCTTTCAGCCTCCGTCACCCTGATGGCGGATTTGGTGAAGAGGCCCTTGGCAGTCGAATGAAATCTCCTAACAATCGGATAACGAAGCGACCACGCGGCAGGTTGCCTCGTTTCAAGGACTCGTTGGTTCTGCCGATAAATTTCAAGTGTCGGACGATGGCGCCACGCTCAAATGAAGCATGCGAGCCGAAATACTGTCCAAACAGATGAATAAAAATACAAGTCACCGAAAAGTAAAAAAAAACATCCGCCGCCGCCAGGGATATCGCCGAGTCAAGTCGACCGATTCGTCATCATACATTACATAGCTGAAAAGTAGGGCTGTGAGATGCATTGAGTTTGCAACTCAAGTGAAACTGGGGGGCGCCGGGCATGCCGAAAAAGCCTTAGCTTGTTGTTCAGATAGCGCACCTCTTTCGCACGTTGCAATGCCCACGACAACGTCTGATGCGCCTCAGCATTGAGCGCTACATGTGGTTGGATGTTTGCGCCTTTATGGCATGGCTCAGGAGACATGGGATGGTCACGGTCAGGGTTTGAGATGTAGCCACGTTCATGGTGTGGGATATGGTCAGGTTTATAGTTTCAGGGATTGATCAAGTGCTTTGTTCAGGGTATGGTCTGGTTCGTGACGGTATAGGGTCTGGGTCATGATGATATGGACGGCGCAAAGTGGCCGCTACAACCTGTCCATACAGTCTCGATGTAAGTCGAGACAACGCACAAACGGAATAGAGGGCAAGAGACGTTTTATAAAGGGAGAGAAGGAGCTCATCAGGTGGAGCACCGTAAGCGACCAAAAAGGATTTCATAGGTACGCTTCTGATGGCAGAACTGCTTCTACGACGATAGGCGCAGGCAAGACAATAATGGTGCCAAATCACGGTGGCATGCGGAGCGCTGAGATCTGTTCGGCGTTAGGAAGAGCGACAGCTCACCAGAGGGGGCGGTATGGCACTATCATGTGGATGGTGCACCGTGCACGAGTGGAACATTTAAGCGCTGAGTATGTGGAAGGCCTCGGAGAGATCAAGTCGGGTGGAGGAACGTGGGGTCGCTGAGTATGAAAGCAGGAACCAATCCCGATAGAGTCGGATATGATTCAATTGCTGATAATTACGTAATGTATTCGGCGGATAATGTATGTGTCGTACGTGTCCTGATCCGGGTCGACAATGCATGCATGTTTACATACAACTTGTCACCTTAGTAGATAAAGATCTTTGGAAGTACTGTTTTTCACGGTTGCATGCAACCGCACAGCCCGCTGGTTTCTCACCAACCTCATCTGCAGAACTTGACTAATAAGTAGTAAGTATTTGTCTTCCAAAGTTCCCACCTACAAAATACATTTGATTCCGGTAATTGAGTTTCATTTTTCTTAGCTTTTCTCCCAGCATTATCCATGCCGCCGGACACAACGAAGGCCAAGTTGAAGCGCAAGTCAAGCCGCAGGGAGGGAGACGACTTCCGATTTGATGGCGGCCATGCGCGCGAGATCGAACAGAAAAGGAGTAATGGGCAGATCTCTTGCGCCGAGTGTAGGAGGTGCGACCTTCGCACAATTTTTATAGAAGCAGTCTGACATGATGTATGCATGTGTATTGTCTAAAGGCTCAAGATAAAGTGTGACAAGCAGATACCCTGCCAGTCATGTCAGGCAAGTACCACGCTACACAGCATCATCCTCGAAACTAAACGCCTATCACCTATCTATTTAGAGACGAGGTTGTGCTGCACTGTGTCCCAATGGTAAGCTATTTTCTATCTCATCCTATTTATGTTACCCATACATTCATTTACAGGCAGCTTGGCTACTGGACAGGGGACTCGGTACGCACCATCCATTTCTTGATAGCTTTCATTGTCTTACTCTTCTGCAACAAGCTTCGTGCTCGCAGCAACTGAGCATCTTCATCGTCAGATAGCCAATATGAGTGGACGTATCCGCCAATTAGAAGACGCTCTTGGGGTCCTCCAGTCACACCATTCAACAGAACCCCACCCCCTCCTTCGTGACGACCTTCGTAGCGCGGATCAAAAGGATGAATTTAGCTCCATCACTCTCCCCGCTGATAATGCTGCGGGACCGTCGAATCCTCCAGAGATTCTCGATGGATTTGGAACACTTTCGATCACTGATCACGGTATATCACGTTTTTTCGGTCCTACAGGCGGATCCGAAGTAAGTGTTCTATCCTTCTCACTCAGAAGAGTTTTATTCATTCAGAATGTGATAGTGCTTGTTGATGGTACGCAATTTACTTTTTGTGAAGCTGCGTTCATGCAACCGTCCCATTAGTCGGATAAAACCATTATCAAAAGTGACAGCACAGATGCTTCTAGTCCCGAATCCGAAAGGGATTCAATGAGCCCTGGGCTACCGCCGTCATTTAGGATGTTTTCGCCGGCCTTCCCTTTCACCCCTATGGGCCCAACAGCAGCTATTCAGAAATTGATAGAAAGTCATCTACCATCTTTGGACCGGGCCAAGTACCTTGTGCAGGTTTATTTTGAACAAGCTGGTTGGCTATTTCACACAGTGTCTGAAGAACAAGTGATGGAGGAGTTACTCCCAATATATTACTCAAATAACACTGCGACGCCGCCGGACGAACCCAGAGGAGCTTATGATCTCGGTCTTCTTTTACTTGTCTTCGCTATCGGAGCTCTCGTGGACCTTAAGCAGAATGCTACCAGCCCTGAGGCTGAACACTACCATCAACTTGCCCGCGCTAGCATCTGTTTGCAGCCGGTCTTGGAGAAGCCCTCCTTGACTACTGTTCAGGCACTTCATCTGTTGGGTGGTTACAACGCTATGAGCGGCAGTGAATTGGAGTTGACATGGTCATTGGTCATCCTTGCCGCGCATCTTGCCCAAACTGTGCGTAGTCTTTCCATTCATGTAATTCTCGCCTGATCAAAGGTCGTCTAGATCGGTCTTCGTATGTTTGTTCATGTATTATCAAGGAACAGTTTAATCTCACTCCGTACCATAGATCGGGATAGTGCCAAGTGGGGTCTTCCTACCAAAGTAGTGCAAAGACGGCGCATTGTCTTTTGGGATCTCTTCATTGCTGATGCCTGGGGTGTAAGCGCACCCTTCTCGTCGTTATGATGGTTTTATTGATATTCTCAACGCAGAGCTTAAACAACGGTCGCCCGCCGACCTTTTCTTTAGCTTACATCGACTGCCGTCTCCCTGAGTTTCCAGCTTCTGCCGGAAATGACGGGGAACCTGATTATGCGGCTGCTGCTGCTGCAGAATGTGAGTCTATACGTATTACTCCTGCCTTTACCCACTACATCTTTTGGTACAGTCTCGTCATGGGCTATTAGGTATGCGGCTGACTGCGTCGCAGAAGTCGCTACGCGTACGTTGACGGCTGAAGCGCCGAATTATGCGGTAATCATGGAAATCGATCGCAAAGTTCGCGAGTTTCCATTCCCAGATGTTCCTCCCTCGGCATTAGATATGTCTCCACCTCCAATGACATCTCCAATTCCTGAGGCACCACTGGCACAATCAATGGGCCGTCTTGTGCTGTCTCACTCTCGGGAAACTCGTAAGCAAACTGCCTTTGTACCCTTGGCTATCGTGGCTGATCTGTTGTTCAGTACTACTGTACATTCATCGTAGTTTCTTTGCGCAGGCTATCATTGATAACCCTGTGAATCCATTAAAGAGCACATACGCCCCATCATTCCTGGCTGCTTACCGGTCGTCTCAGACGATACTGCGAACCATCCAACAAGCATTCCATGAACATCCTAGTCCCTGCGCTCGCTTTTGGACTATCTGGACTTTCGCATTTTCTGCAGCCGTAAGCATTTCGGGTCTCGACATTGATTGGGGCTGATAGCCAGACAGATCGTCTTTGGGACAATTATTACTCGAGGCCCACAATCTCCACTGGCGTCCAATGCCATGAAGGAGCTGGATGGTGCCTGCCTTCTTTTTCAAAGAGCAGCTTCACATAGCAAACGTGCTGCTCAAGCTCTAGTCAGTATTTGTTCCTTTCACGCTTGTTACACTTTGTAATGGAGACAATACCGCAGCCAATCCTTACCAAACTGTGCGAGAAAGCGCACTTAGCCCTCGCTGCTGCTCAGAATGAACGGTCATCACAACAGCTCGGCCAGCAGTGGAGCGTAAAGGTGGAGCAAGATGATGATGAACTCGAAATCTTTGCTGGAAGAACTAGATTCGTTTCAGCTAAAAGACCTACAAGTCTCCCTGCAGACTATTTGGAGGCTTCTTCTAACAGCAACACATATCTACCAACTAGTTCTACCGAACAACAAACCACGCAAATGTATCGCCCGGAGCCTGCAGTTGATTGGGCCTCGGACCGTGGTGGTCGTTTTGATATGCTTCATCCAAGCAATGTCACTGTACCTAGTGCAAGCACTAACCTTTCGACCCAGCTATGGCGACAGTCCCAGAGCTCTGATTATCCTTATGCTCCCCCGCATCATGTATCTCATTCAGCTGCATCACACGTGCACCCTGTGCAACACGCTTTAGCACCTATTTCAGGGTCATCCACTTACTGGCCCCCGGCGAGCGAAACCTCGCAGCAATATAGTCAGCCTCCGCTTGCAGCTCCTCAGTCGCACGCTTATCAGTACAACCCATCTTCTGCTGGCCCATACCAAGGCCAACAAAGCCGACCACTACCTACGGAGCTCACTGGACTTGGCCTGGTATCACAGGATTCAAGACTTGATGAACGTTGGACCTCCTTTATGCGGGATTCTGGTTATTTCGATGGTGTTGGGTTCAGATCACAGTGAACTGAAGAATTCTTCTTTTATTCTTCCACAGCCTTTGTATCGATTTCGTTGTTAATTTGAGCATCGTCATCTTCCCATCTTTCTAGACATGTTCAGTCTTGGAAGGCCTGCTTGGCGGCGGCTATTTTCCAACTATCATATCCATATTCCATGTGCAAGGCATTATCAACCAGATCACCAGTATATAGCAGTAGTCTTTGAAACACTTACCTGTACCATTTTCATGCCTTTCAGAGGGTGTATTTACATGCCATTTTATTACCTGTACCTGTTCCGTTGAAGCATCTGATATAAGACACAGTTTTGATGCAAAAATGGCTCTAATCGCTCGACAATGAAGCATGAACTAGAGACGCCCTAGCCTTTAGAGCTAGTTCGGTAACCCAAGGTAAAGTAAATTTGCCAACTTCAAGGATGATGTAAGGCCGGCACAGTAGGTGCCGATAGCTGAGTTTCAACCTTATGATATCAATATTAGTAGGACTTGTTATCCATCGCGCTCATTGCTTTAGGGATAGATTATGGATACCATTGACCCCTTGCTCCAACAACTCGCTCAAGCCCAGGCTGTTCAGCCGCCAGCTGCAGGCCGTCGGCAGAATCATATGCGAATCCTACGTCACATTGCACTACTCGTCAGTGTCCTTCTGACTGCTACGCACTCATTGCTTCAGGACTCTGTACCTGAGGCATACCACACATCGGCCCTCTCAGGTGAAGAATGGGTCATGGAACTCATCACTGGTCACCCGGATCGTATGCGATGCGAACTTGGCATGCATGCAGATGTCTTTCACGCGCTCATAGCCGAACTTCGTGTTTTGGGTTATGCTAGCTCACGCCACGTTTCGCTCGAAGAGCAACTTGCCATCTTTCTATATACGTGCGTTACAGGGCTAACGATCCGTCATGTCGGGGAGCGTTTTCAACGGTCAAACGACACCATCTCAAAGTAAGTTTGTTTTTAATGTTATTTATGATGAGCTCACAAATAATTCCAGGTATTTCCGGAAGATCTTGTTTATCTTTGCGTCCCCCCCGTTCTACACAACATACGTATGTTCTCCCAACGACACCGATGACATCTCCAGCAACATCCGTAACAATCCAAAATTCTGGCCTTACTTCAAGGACGCTATCGGTGCGATCGACGGCAGCCACATCCATGCTCGCCCCTCATCATCTGATCGCCCCTCGTATCGTAATCGCAAAGGTTTTATTTCTCAAAACTGTCTATTCGCCTGCACCTTCAACCTCAAATTCTCCTACGCTCTCACTGGCTGGGAGGGATCCGCCACAGACGCACGCCTCTATGACGAGGCTCGTTCAGGCAGTTTGTATATCCCTCCCGGCAAATATTTCTTAGCGGATGCGGGATTCCCTTTGTGTGACGAGCTCTTAGTCCCCTACCGCAGTGTCCGTTATCATTTGGCTGAATGGGGACGTGCTAATCTTAGGTATGTTTTATTTATTTTATATTTTAGGTTTTTTAATAACTATTCTATGTTTGCAGACCAACAACCAAAGAAGAGCTCTTCAATCTGCGACACTCATCCGCTCGAAATGTGATTGAGCGGATCTTTGGCGTGTTAAAACGCCGTTTTCGTATTCTGTTGCTCTCACCTGAATATCCTATGACCATCCAGGCACGTATACCTGCTGCGCTATGCGCGATTCACAATTTCATATCGACTCACAACCCTGACGACAACGTGCTCCCGGATGACGACAATGAACACTTCGATTACGACAACCCGGAGCACCAAGGGATCCCCGATGATGAGGAGGAGTTTGACGGAGTGGGAGGCATGAAGGAAGTGCGCAATCGTATTGCGCGCTGCATGTGGGAAGATTATCAGACTGTTTTGCAGCAGCGGGGCCTGCTAGATGACTCCTTTGAAGATTCTGACAATGATATGTAGCACTGTAGCACGACTCTCATGTATCCGCCGCCATCAAAGCACAAGATGTTTGCATTACCATGCTTCAACTACTGCATTATCATCATATGTTGTGTCAATAGCGCATTTTACATGAGTATACTAACTACCAGGCGCAGGAAGTTGAAGTCCCAACCGCTGGGCTGTGGAAAGAATAAAAGCACGGCGCATCTCCTTGTCAGCAGTCTGTGTGTATATGTCAGTAGCTGCAGGGTCCATAGAAAAAACCTGTTGTATTATAAGCCGCTCTGCGAACGGCAACTCTGCATCCTCAACCTGCAACATCTGCATGGCCCTCGAGCGCTGGTCCATTACCCGATCCTCAGGATAGACCATGCGCTCAGCAATTACATCTGTCAAGCGATTGACAGAGCTCTGGAATCCCATCACGGCTACAGCTGTGGTGGCCTTCGATATCTTGGTGTCCAACGTGTTAGTGTTCTTGGTGGAACCGCCCTGAGTCTGTGCATGGCCTCCTGATCCACGGCCTGATGCGCGGCCTGATACTGTCTTCGCTCTTTTGATAGAGCTCGACTCGGAGGGAGGCGGCATTTGCATTTGAGAAACTGAGGTAGATGCAGATGAGGCGGTCAGCTCCATGTCGGTGTGAGAACGTTTGCCAGGAGGAGGCATGAAGGACGGAGAAGCAGGAGGAGGCATGAAGGACGGAGAAGTAGGAGGAGGCATGAAGGATGGAGAAGCAGGTGTAGAAGTGAGGGCAGCTGCTGCAGGGGCGGTGCTAGGACCAGCAACACCAGCACTAGATGTGGCAATAATGGGACCAATCATGGTATTGTGTTCACCTGCGGGTACGCTAGGACTGGAGCTTGAGCTTAAGGGAGGGGGGAGAGCTATATTGGGTTGGTACCCTGTGCGCCCTCGGGCGCCACTGCCTCGTGGTATTATGCCGTCCATTTGCTCGTAGTGTCTCCATCCCGATGCACGAAAAGGGCGCATGACTGAATTTCCCTATTATCAAACAGTGAGACGCATGAAATAGCATTAGTGAACTTGACGTACCTTCTTGGAAACATATTCATTCCATACTGAGGTTGAAGCCTCACCCTCGACATTTGCCCCTCTAATATTGTCCCAGTGGACACCAGACTGCTGGCGATACTTCTGAATAGCATTGAAAGTCTGCTTTAACTACACAATCTATTATCAAGTCTATAAATAAATTATATATTGATAGGACTTACTGACGCCCATTTTGTCTTACACATTGCCCCACTCTTCGCTGGACCATGCTCCAGGTACTCAGCAATAGCCTCTGCAGCGCCATTGTACGTCACATCTTTGAAGTTGCCAGCATCACCGATCTTGTCCCGATTGTTGGATAGGTAGAGGAGAAACTGATCAACCTCTGTGTCGGTCCAAACAGCCCTCTCTGTAGTAGTATGAGATGACTCCTGAGCCATGGAGAGGATGTGGACTTGAGCTGATAACACTATCGATATGACACTAGCCCAGATGTTGTTCCGATTGCATAGATCTTGAGTCGTATGCTGGGGTGTGTGATAGCTAGACATGGGATCAAAGGAAGTTCAAGCTCCGATGTCGGTCTCCAAACCGGAAGCTACTGTGCCGACCTTACATCATCCTTGAAGTTGGCAAATTTACTTTACCTTGGGTTACCGAACTAGCTCTTAAGCTTTAGGCCTTTAGGCATGAAATCGGTAGGATACATAGTCGCCACCATCAAATCCCAGTGTGCCCCTCGTCAGGTACAGAGTGCCCGCGGACCACCAACTTGCAGTCGGTTGCGCAGTATCGCTATGGTGACCAGCATGAACTTATCAGCAGAAAGAATCAATCAACAGTCTTGGAAACGTGCCGTGCTGCTCCACTGGAAACCAAACCAAGTCGGAGAAGATGCCCGAGCCATCAAGAAGAGGAAAGACCGAACATGCAGGTACTGCCGTTCAAAAGGCGTGAGTCGAAATTGTCTGGCCAAGGTGCACCGAGGCTTTTAGTATAAATAATCCCTCGAATTATGTAATCAATTAATTGATATAGGTTAATATCGATTCCAAGCGCGCCATCATGATGTGTACAGTGTACTATAGGTAGGTCCAATGTATACTAGGAGGTGGCATCGAAGGTGAGCGCAAGACGATGTCTAGTGTTGGAAGGACTCATCAGGATGAGAGCGAGGGCATCCGTTACGCATCCGTTTGACTGCATCAGCCGAGTGAGCATCCGAATGTTTCAAATGCATACTCTTGTTCTTACATAAAAACAACATCTGTAGCAGTCGGACTCATCTCGATTCTCAGTTTCGCTTCCGGATAATGAGATGTGCGTCCATTTCTCATCGCATGTATGTCTTCATAACGAGCTAACGTACATATATTGCTGCCTAGCTCACCTCTCCCTGTACTACTCATTCGCCTCTCGTCTTGTCATCTAGCGTTTATTTACACTATCATTCGGGCCTCGTTCGGACCTAAATTTCTCGGTTCCTTCGAACGGCCTAGGTTAATCCTGAGCTTAGCAAAAGTCCGGACACCCTTGCGTCATTCACAATGAAAAGACCCCGGCCCGGACTCTACTCAACATATTTGTTTCAAGTTAATGTTGCAGCACTACACTGCCCGTTTGCACTCATCACACGTTTCACATATGTACCATCACCATGCATTGATGAGTGTTTACTTTTAGTAGCGCTCGTCACATGTAATCACACTTAGGCGCCACCCAAACCTTAGTCTTATCATAACATTGTCATAACAAGAACAAGAAACTGTAACCTGCCGGTTGACTGCCACGTCAGCAATGAAATGAAATGAACAAAATACAAATTCATAGCAAGAGACGGAGGAAGAATGACGAAACGTGAGGCCTGAATGATCATGCGGGCTGCGTGGTAATGGCGTCTGAACTGGCGGCCTAGGGTGACGGTACCTTTGTTGCGTAGGGATTGAGGGAAGCGAGGAAGGTCCGAGTGATAGCAACATCATTTCAAAATTTGCCCCAATTCGGCCCCCTGCTCGGGCAGCTACTAGTACCAAGTAGCATGCTTTTCTCTCCGGGATTTTTATCAACCAATCATATTGGATCATCCTACACAACTCAGCAGTTTCATGATGCGGCCATTACTTGCGTCGAGAGAGCG